GTGCCTTTATAGCATGGGCAGTAGTCGTTAAGGCACCGAGGGAGATGTCAGTCAGACACTGGTGTGATTCTGTGATTCTCAGTGGCTCTGCTGCATCAGACCTGGGCACATGGCTTCTGAGATACTGGACAGAGACTGAATTCCTCAGAGGTGGGCTGAAAACTCCCATAGCAAGGCAAACACAAGATGAGTTTTCTTATCCTGCTGGTGGTCAGAGATGGCTCAGTCTCAGGGAGCTCCTGTGGCCCTGGTGGGTGAGAGGGATCCTTCTGATGTTCAGCCAGGCTTTTCCTCACCTGGCCTGCCTGGTTGTTCCCTGTACAGAGATTTCTGCTGACTTCAAGGATCAGTCATCCCCAGCTGGGAAAGAACCACCTGTGGCCCCGGCCTGCTCCCCACCGCCCAGCAGCCACCATTCCTCAGAGCTGGCGGTGCCAGTGTCCTTGGGACAGCCAGTGCCTGTGGGCCGGCTGGAGGACTTCCTGGAGAGCAGCACCGGCCTCCCACTGCTGACAGCAGGCCATGATGGGCCGGAGCCCCTGTCCCTGATCGATGACCTCCACAGTGAGATGCTGAGCAGCTCGGCCATTCTGGACCACCCGCCTTCACCTATGGACACCTCGGAATTGCACTTTGCTCACGAGCCATCTGGGAGCATAACCCTGGATCTGGCTGAGGCTAACTTGGACAGCATGGACTGGCTGGAGCTGCCAGGGGGGCCTGTCATGAGCCTGGCTCCCCTGAGCACCGCGGCTCCCAGCCTCTTTTCCACAGACTTCCTTGATGGACACGATCTGCAGCTGCACTGGGATTCTTGCTTGTAATTCTGTGAGCAGAGACTGAAGGGAATGGGAGTGGGAGGGCACAGGCATGCAGGGGGAAGAGGCCAGTCAACCAAAAAAAAAGAAAAAAGAAATGAGCTCCTAGTATTTGTACTCCTCCCCTAACAGTGTCCTTCCTGCACAAAGCCGGCAGCGGGCCAGGCCAGGGCAGGGAGAACTGCTGCTGCGGGGGGAAGAAGCTGCAGGAGCTGTGGGGCTGGCGGCCTCCTGCCCACTCCATGGAGCCTGACCCAGCCCAGGTGAGAGCAGAGCTGGCAGCCCCTCTTCCTCCAGGCAGGAGCGGTGACGGCAGTGCATTGCAGCCAGGAATTAGTTCCCTCACGTGGGACAGAGCTGGGCCTGAGCTGTTTCCAGAAGCAGCACTCCGCGCCTTCCTCGGATTGGCAGATGAAGGGGGTTGTGCTGCCCCAGCACGGTTGGTCTTAACGGTTGTGGAAGGGGATTCTACCTCCGGAGCAGGACACAAAAGCAGGAGGGCTGGCTGGGGGTCTGGAGTGGCTGCCCTCTGCACCACCTGCCATCTGTCAGGGGAGGGTCTGATCTGCCGCAGGGCTGTGAGGAGCTGGGCAGAACAGGTACCTTTTCTAAATGTAGCCAAAGGGAACCAGGATTCCCCACCAACCTGGTAATGTCTAAGCTGGTTTCCCAAATATTGCTGAGCTTTGCAGAGGCCTGCCTGCCTGCTTGCTTCGCTCACCTTGGGCCGCAAAACAGATTTTTAAGGTGCTAAAATCAGGTCCTTATATGTTAAAACTGCTGTCAGTCACACCCCATTGCCCCCAGCTTCCAGGGCACTTGTGACATCCCCGGGTGAGCAGGGCAGTCGGCCTGTGCCAGGGGTAGGGACAAGAAGCGCCTGTGTGCCCTGGGGAGCTGGTGAGGGGCACAGCTGGCAATAAGCAACATATCATTGGGGGCCACGTGCAATCTGTTCTCCTGCCTTTGCTGTGTTGGTGCCTCACTGTACCACGTGCCCCAGGGGAAAGAAGCAGCTGGGGATGGATGTCAGACCCACTAGGCGAGAAAGGGGAAGTGGCACTGCAAAAAGGGTGTTGTACGGTGTGGCACAGGTCCTGGCTCAGCAGTGCAACTGTGAGGGCCCCTTTCTGGGGAGAAGTGCAGGACAGCTGATCTCTGCTCTTCCTTCCCTCCTGTCCCATGGGGTAAAAGGCAAAAGTAAATGGCTGCTTAGTGTGAGCTGGTGCCCTGTGTCCCTGCAGGGCCCCAGGCTGGCACCTCGGGGTAACTGCTGAATGAGGAACGGGTGGACGAGCACCCCAAGCCCCCCAGGGCCATGACGAAGCTATTCTTGTGCAGGGTTCTGTGTTGGAAACCCAGGCATGTGGCTTGCTCTTGCGTTGTTACTTCTGTGACTTTAAATTCCTGTGTTAGTAGTAGCTCATGGCCATCCTGAGCAGGTGGGACATGGCTTAGGTGGGCCCATGTAGTCACCTGGCTGCACAGCTGTCCCGGCTTTGGCACTAAGCTGGGTCCAGGCTGCTCTGGCTCAGTGAGGCTCAGAAGCTGTGGCTCCTGAAATCCTACAGAGGTACTGACCCTGCTCAGGCAACGAAAGAATCAACCACCGTCCTCAATATCTCCTTGAGGATGCTGTCCCCATCTTTCCCTTGCACTGGGCTGCAGTGCTTCCTGCTGGGGAGGGGTAGCACAGCCACATGCTGCTCCTCTGCACCTTTGGTACATGGGCCTCTTCTCGGGGCGGCAGGGCTGGGCCACAGGAGTGTTGGTACCTCTGCTCCACGGTGGAGCAGGTGAATGCCAGCCCTGCACAATGTGCTCTCCCTCAGCCACTAAACTGGCAGCTGGCTGTAGTCATGCCTGTTGGAGCTGGGAGAAACTCCTGCTTTCCTGAGCCCTATTTGCTTGTTAACTGCATGGGGAGCCACTTACTTAATCATTTGCAGGGGGAGCCTGCTGGCAGCTTCCTTCCTTTCTGCCCCTTTCTCTCTCCTCTCCCCCCTCCCGAGTTGTAAGCAAGTCACAGCCTCTTATCTGCCTCCCTCAGTGTCTGGGCTGGGGAGGACACTGCCCCCCTTCCCCCTAAGCTTTCTGTTGCTCAGGCTACAGCATCACGTTCTGAAAGTCAGAATAACAGAGACTGGTGGGCACTCCCCTCATTCCCCTGAGCCCTCCCTAAATTCTCTCCTGGTGCAGCCGCGGTGCTGGCTGGGAGCAGTGAGTACATTAGCAATTGCCTTGCAGAGCTCCCACCAGCTCCCCCTGAGGGTTGCTGCCCAGCCGTGGGACCAGGTGGGTGCAGGAGGCAAGGGGTTTCTTAGGAGGAAAGTATGGGAGCAGTGGGAGGACCTCTGAAATGCTAAGGGGAAAAAGTGAGGCTGCCTGTTTGTCAAACTCTCAAGCAAAATCAGGTAGCCCTCACAAAAACCAGCTGTGTGATTTCCTTCGTACAGATAGTTACAAAGCTGCAACCAGTAAATAAAGAATGAAATTATCAAAGTGCAATGAGCTCCTAGAGGAAGGTAGGAGCTCTCCAGCTGCAGTCCTGGCCTAACCCAGCCCTGGTTCCTTGCCCTGGGCCAGGTACCCCACTCCTTGGCAGAGAGATGCCAATGCCTGTTACCAATTTACCTCTTCCCTGGGGTTGCTGGTGAAAGACTGAGCATACAGGTGCTCCCTTTCACCTTTACCTGTCCAGCTGTCCTACAAGTCTGAAACTGTAGGAATTCAGTGACCCTGACTTCGCCCAACACACTTGGATTGGCCAATGGGCTGAAGAACCTCAGGGAGCCCAGACAGAACCACGACCTGGATACAGAACCACCTCTGGAGGAACCCAGCTGACCTGCCAGAGCCCCTGTGCACAAAGGGCTTCTGCCAGCAGAGCGAGGAAGATGGTGCCTCAGCCCAGGAAGTGTTAGGGAGTCTTTTCCCCCAAGCAGTGCCCAGAGCAGGCTTGCCCAGTTCTCTGCTTTCTTACTATTATTTGTTTGAATAATAGTTCAATAGTTCTTTGTCGGAAGAGGTATTCCCCTGGACATACATTTTTGCACCCACTGGGAAAAACGAAGTCTGATGTTCTGCCTCTACCTTGAATGTAATCCCGAATCTTTCTGCTGTAACCACTACTTGTTTGTAATGTGTATTTGACTAGCACGCACTCTCCCTCTTCCACTATGCAGCAAACGGCGAGGGGTGATCAGCACCATCAGAACTGGATGGTGTTGGGGCATCAGATCCAGAGCGAGTTTTCAACTGGAAAAGGATAAAAGTGACAAGTTAATGGGGGAGAGAATCGATCTTTAAATTGAATTATTTTTTCAGTTACAAATATTTGAAAAAAAAAATCCATTTTATTAAAAAAATTCCAAACAGCCACGTGCTCAAAAACTTCTCTGCTATGCTGGTGGGAGGGCTTGGGGCCACTCTGCCTTTTCCAGCTAAGGGTGGATTATCCCTCTGGGTCTTTCTCAAACCTGAATAAAGCAGCTTAAGTGGTGGTGCCTCATCCTTCTCAGCTGCAGGGAGATTCCCTCAGTGTATGGAAATTACCTACCCTGCAAGCAGAAGTAGGTCTTATGCCAGAACAGGGGCAGCTTTTACAGTCTCAGCCCAGCAGGCTGGTCTGGACCCCAGCTGGTGGTGACCACAGCCACATGCCAAATGAAAAGACTCACTTTGACTCAGTACAGACTCTGCAATTTCCACCCTCCCAAAAGCTTGGACTTCTCAACACAGTTGTCCCCAGGGCCTGTGCCCTGTTACTGTCCCACTTTGCAAATAAGACTTCACTGCTGCCTCCCCTACCCAGCCCTGCTTTCTGCCAGCCCCACTCCCCTTCCTGAGGGCCCTCCTCCTGCAGTGTCCCTACAACACCTAGTTTTCAGTCTGTCTTGCTTTTCTGGGGCTCTGCTGCAGAGCTGTACTTCAGGGAGGGCTCGTGGTGCAGACGCAAGGCAGGGCTGCCACTGCTGGCAGCAGAACTGTCTCTGCCCTGGGTGCTGCCTGACCTCGTGGGCTGCTCTGACGCAAAGAGCTCCCTCGGTGCGAGCGCAGGTTGAGCAGAGACCTCAGCTTGATGCTGCCAAGAGCCAGCGCAGAAATGGGGTCGCCATTGTCAAATGGCAGAAACTAAAAACTGAGTCCTGGCCCTGTCAAAAAACAAGGCAAAGCCCAGCACTCTCCCAAGATGCAGTTTTTATTTACAAACCCACCAAATAAAGGAAAGTAAGAATCTAGTGTCATCCCATGAGTAGTTTGTGCTCACAGACAAGCGCTTTCAGTAGAAAGTCACAGACTCCATAACCAGAGCCACCACCACAAAGCAGCAATTCTCCACTCCTGACCCATGTCCCCACTGCCACTGCAGGGCGAGGAGGATGAGTTAAGTCTCCCTGAGCCAGCTCCAACCTAAACCTTGTCCTGAGCTACAACAGTGCCAAAATATACACGTTCTTGGAGTAAATTTACAGCTTTTTGGTTAACAGTAAAAATCATCTGGAGACTAAAATGACAACATGAAACACATGTTTAGGGGAGAGGTGGTTTTTGTCTGCTCCCAGAGGAGACAAGGACCATCCCCTAAGGCTGTTACAGTGGTAACAAGCTGGTAAACTTGGGCAATTCTTGTCAACACCCCACACAGCAGTGCCAGGGAGGTGGGATGATGCTGATGCCAGTTCCCTATTCTCAGTCCCGGCTCCAGGGCAAAGGAACTTTTCCACGTGTCCCCCCGCAGAGGGGAGCCCTTGGCTGGCATGGGGAGGGGATGTGCTCTCCCTGCTCCTCTACAGCAATGAGTCTCTCACCAGCCCAACTCCTCAGCATCTGCAGTGCCAAGTGCCAACGGCTCCAGCTTTCACAGATCAAAGCCATCCCACAAGGGCTGTCCCCACAGCCACAGCCACGCTCACACACCCTCGCAGCTGCTGGTCCATGGGGCACGAGGTGCTCCGGCCAGGCTGCTCCCTCAGGCTCTGGTGGGGAGGCAGGGCTGAGGCAAGAAGAAGGGGATGGCAGAAATGCGGAAAGCTGGGAGGGGGCACTTGGTAGCCAGAACAGACTTGTCCCTTTGCAGCACCACCCTCGACCATCACCTCCCTTGAGCTGGCAGCTTGGCCTCTTGGTGCTGCTGCCGCCATCTGTCCCAGGTGGCCTGGCAGCACCCCCCGAGGGGGATTTTGTCACAGATACAAGTGGGTGGGGTGGGGGAGGGCAGGGAGTGAGACATGATGGGGGTGGGGGAGAGGAGTGTGTGCAATCGAGGTTTCCCAGGATGGGGCAGGGTGGGGGTCACCCATCTATGTCCCAGCTGAAGAGATGGTGCTTCACGAGCATGTCCTGCACCCCTTCCTTCAGTGGCTTCTTCTCCTTCTCCTGCAGGACAACAGAGGCCTGGGTCAGTGCACCACACCCAGAAAAGGGAAGGTTGTGTCTGCGGGCAGAGCCCAAGCACACAGAGGTCTCCAGCACCCAGACAGAGCAGCCTTTGCACTTCCCACCTCTGCACAGCTGAAACGGGGAGGTCCCGCAGTTTGGAGAGCACTAGGGAAGGGGGAGCCTGCCATTTCCTCTGCCCCAGCTGGGCAGTGGCAGGCAGCCCCCTCTGCCAGCACTGCCACACAGCTCCTGTCGCACAGCCTGCCCTGGCAGGGAAAGCAGCCCCATCCACTCTGGTACTGGTTCAAGAGGAGGCAAAGGATGGGCTGGAGCACAAAGCTGGGAGAGGGAGGGAGTAAGCAAAGCCCCCAGCTGAGTGAGAGAATGAGAGATGCCACCTACTTACCTCCCTCTTTATTGGCAGCTCCCAGTCCTGAGAGAGGCTGAAGGCAAATTTGCAGAGGACCCTGCAATACAAATGGAAGAGAGCGATGGTAAAAAGTACCCAGATCACACTCCCAGATCACACTCCCAGCCTGTGCCCACGACTGCTGCCCCAGGCACACCAATGCACTGTCTCCTCAGCTTGTCCCGGCATGCCACTAAGCTTACAAGGGTGAAATTCCTTGTTAGTGTTGATAGTGTTGAAAAGACATCAGCAGTCACTCATTCCCTGTTTCCCCCTCGCTGGGATTCACATCTTGCCAGGCCCAGGCTGGGAAGAGGAGCTTGAAGATGTGACTCAAGTGCAGCCCCTGCAGAGCCTGGTACAGCAGCACAGGGAGGCAGGGGCAGCGCTGGGCTCTGGGGCACTGCAGACATGCCTGGCTAAGGGTTGCACACAGCTGGCAGTGGGGGTTGCAGGTTCACTCTCCAGAAAGCAGATCCCTGTCAGCAGCACCTCAGAGCTTCTGCAGCCCTTCCTCTACCTCCCTGAAGTAAGAGAAGTGTCCTGACTCCCATGCAGAAGTGCTGCACGGAGTTGGCATGGGGAGCTCCCTTGCTGGCTTGGTGAAGTACGGCATAAGACATGAACCAGTTCCACTCGGCCCTTCGGCTTTGCTGGACTGGCACTGCCCCCATGCTGTGAGAGAGCAGGCACAGGACACACAGCACAGAGGTGGACAGAGCCCCCTCCCATTCAGCAGCAGCACAAGGAGAACAGAGCACCCTGTGGTATGTGCACACAGGCCTGCTCTGGATACAGATGCTCCCGCTGGGGCCAGAGGCAATCGCAAACAAAAGCCAGTTCTCACAGAATGGCAGCAGCAACCAGGCTGGAACAGTGATGATGGCAGGAGATTTGCCCTCCAGCTCCGTGGGACCTCACCTGGCTTTGCAGAGTGCAAGAAGACCAGGAGTACACCCATGGATGTGTGCCCTGGGCTCCAAGTTCCACACTTTGTGTGAGCTCAGGCACTAAAGCTGCTTCCAGCCCCTGATATCACTCCCTTGCTTAACTAGGGAGTCAGTCGATAACTGACTCCTTCTCAGTCAATGACAGTCCAACTATCTCCCCAGCACATTCCCTGTTCCCTGCTTGGACTTAGGGCGGCTGGCAGAGGACATCAGGCGGAAAAGGCAGTCTCTCCATCAGTGTAGATGCAGGACACAGCAGGAGGTTACTACCAGGCAAAGGCTACCTGCTTGTCACAACAGGTCCCCAAGCAGCCAAGCTCTGCTCTTGGATGAGGCAGGCACAGTGCCTTGCATTAAACCTTCTAGAGAGCTGCTGCTGCCTCAGCACACAGACGGAAATCTCTAGGCAGCCCGTGCTATGACACACTGGAGAGGGCCCAAATCCAGCCACAGCGAGGGCCACCTCCTGCAGAGGAGGAGGAAATCCATTCCAGACCCTGCCCACGAGGACACTTACCTCAGCTCACATTTGATCTGCACCCAGCCGGGACTGCGCAGGAATGACCAGGGATGGAACCACTTCTCCACGGTCTGCAGGCTTGAGCACAGCACCTCCAGCCACAAATGCAGCACCTGCTCACTGCAGCAATGGGGTAGAGAGGCATGTTACTCAGCTGAAACCAGGGAAAGAACCCCCATCCCTCTGGGATTGTCTGTTTTCAGCTCAAGCCTTGACCCCCGTCCTGTCCCAAGTGGAAACAGGATAACCCAGTAAACTTGTGTGAGCCACTCAATGCAAAAGGAGCTACTTCTTCCAGCTAGGATTCAGCCAGCACAATCAACAAGGAGCAAGTCCCACTCAGTGGCTACAGTGAGAGGGAGGAAAAAGACACTGTGCCCTAAGGTAGATTGAAACCACTGCTGCCCTTAAGCCCATTCTGTCCCTTCCCAAGCTCCCTGCCCCCACAAGGGCCAGATGACTCACTTGAGTCCAACACAGATGAGAGAACGAAGCTTCACGTCCATCTGTGCATGTGCAGCATCGTGTGTCATGTTCACAGCCTGAACCGCCTGCAGGGAGGGAAGATGTGGTTACCACTGGGCAGCCGTTTCAGCAACACAGCCATACACTGCCCTCCCCGGAGCTCCCACCCTCACCAGTGCCACCTGATAGCACCACAGGAGCTAAAGGAAGGTCTGGGAGACTCTCGAGCATCTCCCTCCAGCAGCTCCACAGAAAATTTCCTGAAAGTAGAAATTGGGCTGAGTGGGCTCGGGGCAGCACTCACCCGGTAAAGCAGCTCCTCTGGAGTGAGGACTTTGCCATCTTCATCAAGCCTGTAAAGATCACAGCAGAGACTTAGCTAACCCCAGAGCCACCCTGGGCACACGCAGGCCTTTGCTGCTTCGTATCACAACAGCTCTCTTGCTACTGCTGAGCCCACAGGGTCCCTGAAGCCATGAGAGAGCAAGATAAAGACCCAGATGCAAACACAGGAGCTCAGGGAAGGGAACAAGAGCCACTGCTGGCCCCAAGTCAGCACAGGCACAACCACAACTGCAGGAGGATGAAGCAGACCATGACCCTTCCCAAGGTGCAAGAGAAGCATCAGTTTGATGAGCAGGCAGGGGCAGGGCACAGACCCATCTCCTTGGGGTGACTCAAGTGGCCTTACCTGTAAGTCTTGCAGAGCACGAGGCGAGAATACACAGAGTCAAAGTCCCGTTCCACTTCCCGGCTTGCAGCCTAGAGGAGCAGAGGGACAGTCAGCACACTCTGCCCTACAACCCCCTCACCCCAGCCCTTTGCCAACACTGCCTCATGAAAGGAACTGGGACATCTCACCTCTTCAATGAACAGCCAAGGGTGGCAGGGCCCTCCCAGCAGAGACGGCTTCTTCAATCCATGTTCAAATATGGACTTCAAGGCTGGACAGAGTGTTCCTCGCACCAAGTCAGTCACCCCTTCTGTGACTGAGTCATCTCCAGCAATGGAATACTGAGGAAGATGAAGAGCCAGTTCTCAGCATACTGGTGAGGGGGCGGAACATGGAGGTGATCCACTCACCTACATCTCTGCACAGATCAATTCCACTCCCAAGTGCCAGCCAGCCCCCACCTCCTTTACCCCTTATGTGCTTGCATAAAGCACCATGTTCTGAGCTGCTGCCTGGGGATCTGCTGGGACACCGGGACCTTTGTGCTTTGGTGGTCCCTAGGAGACCACACAGGTGACCGCAGCACCATCGTGGCAGCGTTCAGCACTTAGGAACTGCTGCGGTTTGGTGTGACACTGACTGAGCTCACGTACGGAGAGGGACTTGCACTGAAGGTCTCTGGGACTCTGTAAGTTGTGAAATGTCAAGACAAATAGGGACAGATAGGAATTTCCAGGTCAGGGGGGATACTCTGTTGACAATCCCAAGAGTGGGATCCTCTCTGTTTCTGCAGTCAGGAGGAGAAACACTCAGCAGTACAGGGCATGTTTATACACAGAGAGGTGATCTGCATCTAAGGAACCAGCCCTGAACAGGGGGAGGAAGCAAGTGCAGCCTCAGGTCAGCCTTTGAGCTCTTCCTCACATTCCAAATGCTTAGAAGAAGAGGGAGAACAGGACCCTAAAAATTGCTTAGGTCAACAGCTGCTGATGTTTGTCTCCTACTCATTACCTCAGCCTTGGGGACATATTGAGGTATCTGTTCTAGATAGGTGGTATCTCACCCTTGCCAGCTGTGAGAGGAACTGAGACAGAATGTCCCCTTGGGCACAGCTGTTTGGGGAGAATTCACTGTCATGGCCACAAAGCATGAGCAGGATCCACAGGCACAACTTCAAAGGAAGAAAAGAACACAGGCAGAAGACAGAAACACTACCCAGAGAATCTTCCTGCCTACCTGCCTGCTGCTTTCTCAGCTTTCTTGAGGTTCATCTCTAGGGTCTTTGCAACCCCAGGCATCCCATACCGGCTGCCCTGGCACCCTCTGGGGCCCTCAATCTCCGCGTGGTCAGCATGAGGAAGTTGAGCAAACAGGCTTAGGAAAATAACCTGCCCCACCATACCACAAAGAGCTCAATAGCCAGAAAGAGCAAACAGACTGAAGGAGGGAAATATATGGCTCCTTACATCTGTGTTTTATCAGTTATGACATAACTCTTTATTTTAGTGTGGGGAGTTTTTTGTAGTTGTGGGGTTTTTTAATTACCTCTTTACTCCGCTCATCCAAGATCTCCACAAATTTTGCAGGAAACCAACCTACAAAGAGAGACAAGGAGATAAGCCTGACAAAGACACTGAGAAATCCCTACAGAGAGCGCAGTGGGAGCTGAGAATAAATCAGAGGTCACAGGGCTCAACCTCAAAGAAGGAAGCGAGCAGCCTCAAAATCACAATAATTAAGGCAACTGCATGAGGAAACCAATTACAGGACACTGCCCACATGCAGCAGTGATGACATGCATCCAACTGCCCTGTGCCAGAAGAATGGAGCCTAAACTTGCTGTTTGCAAGAAGTTACCAGGTCACTGCTCTCATACCCTGCTTTAGCATTTCTTTTGTCTCTGGCAGATACTCTGGGTACCTGGCAGAGCCTTTGCTGCAAAGGGATGAGAGCAGTTGCCACGGATGAATGGATGCTCTGCATCCAGGCCTCACTCTCCCCAGTGCAACCCATTCTGTTCTCACCTCTCAATCCATTCAGCTCTCCCACCCAACAGTGCTCATCCTTCTGGGAAATGATCTGAAAAACAGGGAGAGGAAATCACCAGTTGAAGAGAATGCAGTGGCAGGAGGGCTACAGCTGCCCACAATGTGTGGGCACAATGACGAACTGCTTTCTTCTCAACTGTTTTTTCAATGTTCTCTTCTCATGTGGCCTGGGGCCTTCAAGGGCACAAAGCTACTGCAAACACAATGTTACTCCTGTTCTCCCCAGTTTCAGATGGGATAACCACAGCTAAAATGCAAATGGATGCTTTTACAGTCTTACCACAGCTCAGTGCACAGTGTTAAACCAGGACTCAGGTTGGATCAAATCCACCTTTTGCACAGCTGTATAACAGCCAGGAAAGGAACTCTGTGGTTGCAGTGAGAATGACCCACAAGGCAACACTCACAGGAACACACTGCCTCACCCCCAGGCAGCCCCCACAACACCAGCTGCTTCTCTTGGGCTCCTAACTGGGCTCTGAGCTTATCTCCTCCCTTTTTTCCCTGCAGAAGAGGTCGTGCAGGGTCCCAAACAAGCCGGGTCTGTGTGGTCCTGCCCCGGTCCCTGTCTCCCAGGCTGACGCACCGTGATGATGTCGTTCTTGCGGAAGCCCAGCTCGTCATCATCGTGGCGCTCGAAGTCCAGCAGGGCCTTGGCTCGCCGGCGGCGGTTGCGGGAACAGGCCACGTAGTTCTCATGGTCCCGCTGGTGGCTCTCCATGCTGTAGTCTGGAGTCAGATCCTAACACGCATGTAGATGGGAGCAGAGAGGAATGAATAGCAACAGGTGACTCCCAGCTGATCTACTAAAGCTTGCGTGCCCCTGTTCCCAAACCTTTTCCTGCTCCTAGCCAGCAGACAACATCCCAGCACAGCCTTCCTCCACCAGGGATGGGTTAAGCAAGTCTCACCCTTCACCCGTTACACCTGGCATGTTCCTTCTCAAGCCCACATTTCAGGAGAATTTGAACAGCCCTGTCCTGACACTCAACACTCATGCCTGGATCACACGGCAGTGCCGATCCAGCTGTTTCTACTCACAATGCTGCAGTTCTTGGGATCCACGCACTGGAAGTGCCGTGCCACCTGGAGAATGGCCTCACGCAGGTCAGCCACCAGCTCCGTCTGCTTGATGTTCTTGGCTTTCAGTGCCTCCAGATCATCATCCCCTAGTGGAGCCAATGGAGCAAGAGAGAAGGTGAGGAAAGGAAAACAGGTATAAAGTGTTTATTTTTTGTTAACATTAGAAATCATTGGTTCTGCAGAAGTCAAAAAAGCTTGACATCAGAAGCGCCTACACTAAGGCAGATACTGCCAATCTATTCAATAATGTAAATAGCAAATACCAAACTGACTGGATCAAACTTTAAGGATATGGTATTTCAAACCACATGTGGAACTCAAAGACGTCATCTTTGATCTGCCTGGGAAACTCAGTATACCAAGGTATTACTTTAAAGAAGTGTCTACAATATATAGTTGGCTGAATAATGGGACACAGAACTGGGGAACTTGCAATAATTCCCTCCAACTAAAAGTCACTTGAAACTGAATCACCTGTTGGTTGAACTACCTCTGATATTTGTATAACTCACAGGCTGAGAGCGTATTCTTCACTGAGTCTGGAAAGAGATTTGAAAAACCATGACAGCCCATTTTCCTGTGCCAGTCTAGAAGTCAGAGCCACAAGAGAAAAGCTGCCACCTGCTTAAGACCTCAGCCTCCCTAAGAGCCAGATTTCAAAGGTTTGGGGTGTATAGAAACAGTCATAAGCACAAAGTAAAAGTTATTAATTCCCCCGGGAGTTTTTACAGCCTATCTCTATTACTTTATGCAGAAAGATACCTATTGGTACAGATTCCTTAGACAGTTATTGTATCTGAATGCTGTAAATATTGGGTACCTGATGTTTGGGAACAATGAACCATTTGCTTCTTTTTCTTAAAAAAAAAATCAGTTTGTTTTAAATTCAGAATATATTTTCATACATCTTTTTCCTACATTTTTGCTCTCTCTATTATATAATGAAGATGCGGTAGCTTGATTAGCAAAACCAACATTTAAAACAATTAATTTTTCACTGAACTCCAATGTTTAAAAACACAGCTTTTATTCAGGACCCAACTGGCTAGCAAATTAGTACTCTGCTTATCTTTTAACAGCATTGCAGAAAACAATACAAATAAAGCGTGATCTGAACTGTACAGCTACTGCAACAGCTTAACACGTTAAGCTTCTGCTTATTGAAAAGTGACTAACAATATCTTTTCATCATGTGATCCTAATTAAATTTTAGAAACCTAAAAAGAAGCACAAAATTAGACTTAAAATTATTTTTGTAATTGTTTTCTGTTTGCTAAATTAAATGACTGGAGAATCAGACACACAAATCTTAAGAGAAAACTGAACCTCACTTCTGGGCTAAAAAAACTGTAGGTCACAGTTACTCTCAGTGTAATCAATAAAAAGAACTAACAAAATCTCCTCGGTGGCCAGGGGCAGGAAACAAAGCATGCATGAACTCTCACTACAGATTCAGAGACACAAAGATTGTAAATAGATAGGTTATCACGTAGACATAGGGGATTCCCAGAAAATTCACGTTATTAAAATAGAATGTGACTAAAGAAGAAACCCAACCACAGCCGCACTAGCTCTGTGGGCTGCCCTCATTTACATAGATCACCGATTCTTTCTGTCATCATTCAGTCCCATCTGGCCAAAATACCATGCTCTTCCCTCTGCATTCAGATCAATCCCACCAAAACACAAGCAGAAGACACGGGAAGCTTTCTCCCACCTTAGAAGGTAGACTGTACAGAAGAAAGCAACTGGTGTTTCCACCAGATTCACCTCACTGCACTCAACATGACTGCACCTACATTTCCAAACAGGAAACCAGTGCGTGATCAGCCACATATGAGGAAGCTCTGCTTTGAGCCTGCAAAGACTGACTAGCTGCACAGCTGTGCAGAGCAGGACTAGCTCTCCTGCATTTCCCTGTTGCAGTGCCCATCCAACAGGAAAAGAGCAACATGCACATCTTGCTCTCCACCAAATTACTT